TCTGTTGATATGTAAACTCTGACTTTAACATAGCTACTTCCGTGACCAGTTACATGCTAATCCCTCACACTAACATCATGCTAATCTCCCAGTTACATGCTAATTTCTGACTTTAACATCCTGCTAATCTATCATATGAACACAGCTACTTCAATGCTAAATTCTTCTGTTGATATGTAAACTCCTTTGTCAAGGCGCTCTGCTCCTCCCACCCAGCTTAAAAGATGCTGCCAAGCTTAGCAGTGTTCCTTGAAGCACTGTCGTCCCGACAGTTCTGTTCCTTCACCTGAAGAAGGCTACTTGTGTTGTGGCCGAAACGTCGTGAGAATTTTATTTTATTATGTTTTATTTCCATTATTTTATTGTTTCCCTTCTACGTGACTTTACCAAAAGAACCAAGAAGATAAATCCCTGCAGTCACGAAAGCTTTAAATCGAAAAATGCATTTAACAGTTTAGCCGTCGAGTTAATTCTTTATATATCATCATCAGAGCCCAGCAGAAAATGGGATCTAGCGATGGTATTTTACGTTTCTCCTGATGGCGGGTGACTGTGTACGGAGCTGTAATAGCAGCAGTCCACCAAGACTTTGACTGCAGATGCTCTGTGTGTATATGTGTCTGTTCAAGGATCGGTGGTGGAGCGGTTAGCGCTACGCTGCGCTACAAACCCAGCGACTCGAGTTCGATTCCTGCTCACGGCCAACACCGGTGACGATTAATTCTAGATCTGAAGCTGTCGTGACTGCAAGGATTCATGCTCTTTGTTTTTTTTCGGTAAAGTCACGTAGGTAAAATGAAATAAAACTACTAAATTAAATCACGACATTTCGGAGGCAACACAAGCTTTCGTCTTCAGGTGGAACAGACACAGCAAAATTCGCTGTATCCACAAATGAACAGCTCTGGAATACCCGAGATTATATAGAGGTTAAGGGGGGGGGGGAGGAGCCAGGAAGGGACGTGGGTGGGGAGGGGAGGGGCTAAGTTAAGCCGCCTTTTGTCATGCTCCATGGGGTTCGGGGGGAGTGGTGGTGCACTGCAAGAAAGCGGGTACAACACCCTTTTTTACTGCAGGGGGTTCGGGGGGAGGGCGATGGCGTGCTGTACGACAGCAAGCACCATCCTGGTATAAACGGAAACGGCTGTACAATTATAACCCAGCTAACGTTTGACTCGGTTGATGACATCTTTCCAAAAGTTGCTCAATTTGAAACCATCCTCTCGGTTGAAGTTGTGTCTATGTTTGTATATTTGGATGGCTTCATGGACAAATCTTTGATAATAACCGGGAGGTTTGCATAGTAATATACAAACATAGACACAACTTCAACCGAGAGGATGCTTTCAAATTGAGCAACTTTTGGAAAGATGTCATCAACCAAGTTAAACGTTAGCTGGGTTATAATTGTACAGCCGTTTCCGTTTATACCAGGATGGTGCTCTCTCGTGCAGCACGCCATCGCTCCCCCCGACCCCCTGCAGCATAACAAATGGTGGTTTTACTTAGCCCTCCACTCCCCACCCACGTCCCGTACTGGCTCCCCCCCCTTAACCTGTATATAATCTCGGGTATTCCAGAGCTGTTCATTTGTGGATACAGCAAATTTTGCTGTGTCTGTTCCACCTGAAGACGGAAGCTTGTGTTGCCTCCGAAACGTCGTGATTTAATTTAGTTGTTTTATTTTATTTTACCTCCGTGACTTTACCGAAAAAAAAACAAATAGTACCGGTGACGATTGTCTGAACCGGTCCTGGGCCTCCCCTAGGTCGACTCAGCCTCAAATGAAGACCTGGTGCGGTGTGTAAACATCGCCACTGGGGAGACAAGGACGGTTGGGCGTGGTGTTGGCCACCCACCCCCTCGCGTGCCGTGCCGGCCTTCGTAGGTGCTCGCTAACAGCACTTGCCCCTACAGTCTGTTAAGGGGATCTCTGTCTGTTGAAGGAGCGGCTACGGGTGTTTTGAAAAATGGGGACATTTAGGACGCATTGAACAATTTTACAGCGATGGTGAGAGGCTTCCCCTCTCCCCCACCACCCATCTTGCGCGACGATTATTCGTATCGGAAGGGAAATGCGTGGACATGCGTGTGCTGCGCTCAATGCAAAACCTGCGAGTCGCGTTCGCACTGAAAACAAACAAAAACGAGACCTCCTTTGCCAGTATTAAATTATGATAATGGGGTTTTCCCCTTTCTGGCAATAAAACAGGTAGAAAGACGTTAAAACACCAAACTTAAACCTTTGCAAGGAATCATGTCTGCATTAACCACATATATTGGGGTGAACATGCGAACAGAAAAAAACATGCTCTGACAGTAAAAGACAATGCACATACTGTCAGAGCATGTTTTTTTGCTTGCATGTTCACCACAAGTATATGTGGTTAATGCAGACATGATTCCTTGCAAAGGTTTAAGTTTGGTGTTTTAACATATTAACACAGCTGTTTTATTGCCAGATAAAAGGAGAGAACCCCGATTATCACAAAGAAAACAATTGACGCACTTGCACGACGGCGATACTATCCGCAGCGCATCCTTCCATCGCTTTTGTGGGATTTCGCAAGCCTGGCAGGGATGAGCCGGACTGGCCGAGAATGTGCAGGCGTTGTTTGAAAAAGGGCCGCGATCCGGGCCAGGTGAAAGGCAGTACAAGCAACATAGTCTTGAATCTGCGTGGGTATTTTACTGACGCTCGCCTCTTTAATGCATGGCCTTTCACGGGAGTCTTCGGTGTTTTCCATTCCCTCAAGCCAGATGCTCCAAAATGGAATTGGCCAAACACCCCGATGTCTGATCCACCTGCAAACGACCCTCGAGACTCGCTGAGGCTTTGCTGGGCGAAAGGGCAATACCGTTTGCTCGCCGTCTTTAAGCTTTGCGGCTTGATTGTTCAAGAGTTGCAACGAAGAACTTGCCACCCAGGCTGTCATCATCTGGCCGGCCGTGAAGCGTCACAGCCGTCTCTCCCTCTCTCTCTCTCTCGCCGAGCCGTGTCCCGACAGCAAAAGCGATGGTGGTACTCTTCCCGTGGCCTTGACACAATCAGCAACGGCGTGGTTTTTCCTCCACGTGACATCCCGCCTGCCACACTCGGGACCCGGAGATTCGTTTCGCAAGCTGCGCTGTGTTTTTTTTTTTGTCGCCGCTGAACGCCACCGCTTCTCGTGAATGGTGGCAGCCAGCGAGACAAGCGATGCCCTTGCAAATTTGCGCGTAGCCCATAGCCTCACGTCCCAAACGCAGCCCATACATTACACCGAGAAGCACGCGTGGCGGAGTGGGGGATCAGGTGGGATGGATGGAACCTGAACCGTGTGCCTACCTTTGGGTACAGAATCTAAACCAGATATTCCTTAAAAATATAGATTTTTTTTTATTTGGTGGTTGGTCTGATTCATTAATTGTAATGATAATTATTCACAGCCGCTTGACCCTTATGTTGGCTGTTGCCCAGAATAACCCGTTGTCATTGGTCAACAAGCCCTTTGACCAATACCGCGTGTCTCTAGAGGCCGCATCGTTGCGCTACAGCACCGCCCGTTCGTTTATTTTGCCGGTTGCCGAGTGCAGCCTTGAGACCCGCCTGCATTGAGCTGCTATGTAAATTCACGAAAGAATAATAATTGGTCATATTATTGGTACTTTCGGTAAAGTCACGTAGATATAAAACAACAAATCAAATTGATACAATTTAAATTTAAGACAAATTTGAATTGAAAATATAAATACAAAAAAACACAATAAGAAATAGTAAAGTAAAATTTGTATTAAACATTTAAAATAAATTGAAAATAATAAAAGCAAAAAGTTTTAGGTCGATAATTGGTTACTTATTTTTTTATGAGCACTCCGTCCCTTCTGTCTCGTGTTTCGTGAGAGCAGTCACCCGAAGCGCGTGTGGGCATAGAGGGTGGCAGGACATCCCTCTCCTCGTACCAGGGCCTACGCCAACCGCGCTACTCCGCAGGCGTCTGCACTTCCCACGCCCAACGCGACCGCGATGTACCCTGCCCACGTCTCCGCGTATTCGCGTGGCTGCGAGCATTCGCGAAGGGGGCCATTCTGCTATTGTAATGAGTCCGGTGGTACACTTCGTGTGCACTGACGCAAAGCGTTCGGACGTTGCCTGACCATGCGCTGTCTCTGAGCCTGGGGATACCATTGGGTTATGGAACTGTCAAACTGTGAACCGGGGCAAGGTCGGTACCCTGGAGGCTGCTCTGACGCATCAAATGAATGCGTGACGCGTGCACGTGCTTGTCGGCGTACGCACTCGAGTTCGATTCCCGCTCGTGCCCAATAATAGTGGCGAATATTTGAACCGGTCCTAGGGTCTCCTCTATGTTGACTCAGCATTAAAAGAGAAACCTCGTGCAGTTTGTGAACATTAGCACTGAGGAGACCTCAGTTGGCCTGGTGCGATGCTGGCCATCCACTCCCTAGTGTGCCGTGCCGACCTGAATCGGTGCCTGCTAACAGTACTTGCCTCAACAATGTGTTGAACGCCGTACGGGGTGTCTTGTCTTATCTTCATGTGCGTGCCTGTGTAGCTGACACAGTGGGGAGCACAGGTGGGCCATCTGCCCGTCATCTCAGTCAGTCAACCCATGGCACCTGGGTCGATCCTGTGACCTCCTGCCAGCAAGTCTTCTGTACTTCGCGTGACCTCAAAGTGTCGTGCCTGCATTCATAAGTGCTCGCTAATGGCACTGTATGTGGCGGATCGTTGTCTTTGTGCGAGTGTCTTGGCTGGAGGTAGCGGTTGCGCAGTGGTTAGTACACCGCGCTATGAACCCGGCCACGAGTTCATTATCGTTCATGGCTAACAACATTGATGGCGAGCGACATCTGAACAGGTCCTGCCTCCCCCCCCCCCCCTCCTAACCCAACACCACCTTCACTAACTCACACTGACCAGCATGATGAAGTATGGTCAAACAACCCCCTTTGAACAACAACACAGCGCGCCTTAAGAGGCTTTCGTTCGGCAGTGGTTTGACAAAGCGCTGTGACTTAGGAGAAGTCGATTTCAGATCAACTCTGCATTATGCATTAGGCGCATTTGTTGTTGTTGGTGTTTTTTTTTTCGAGTAGAGTTTTAATTTCCTATATGGGCTCGGTGCCACGGTTGGCCGCTTGGCTCTGCACGTGAAAGGCTGCAAAAGCGATGAAATACAACGGAAGATTTCTGCCCGCACCACACCTCGTCAAGCGAGGCAGCCAATTTAATTTGCTCATTGTTCCGATGTTCCTATTCACATTTTCAAATAATAATAATACAAATTCCATTGTCCCAAGTGCCGTGACCGACACAAGATGTTCCTTCTGGGTGACTGTCTGATAACCGCCACCAGAGAATTCCTCCTCTCACCACAGGGAGAGAGACACCGCGCAGTGATACACAAAAAAATAAACATGGGGAAATCACTGTGCAGTGAAATGACCATTGCGTCAGTACAGTTTTGCCACAAAACTGCTCTAGCTCTCTCCTGAGGCCCCTCTCACGAATGTACTGCACGTTGAACTTCTTTCGCACCGTACGTAGCCAACCTCGCTAATCGGAGGTGCGGGGGAAGGACACCAAACTAAACAGAAAAAAAAGCAGTTCTACAGAAACGAGTTTTTAATCGAGAATTAAAAGTTCATAGCTCCCAGTGGCTTCCGAATATCGGAAGGCAGAGCGTTCCAGACGGCCGCAGAAGCGCATCTGAAAGCGCGCGATGCGGTGAGCGCATTTGATCGGGGGCCTAAATCGTGACCTCGGCATTGCCATTCAGCTCCTGAATATATTGCTGCCATTATGCGCGGCAACGGAATAGCAGAGCTGCGTTGACACACGGTGTGCAGCAATTAATTTTGCATGTTTATGTAGCTACACCAATATGTGCGCGTGATAAGAGGAGCCAAACAACGGCGCGTTCTTTATCACTGCGAAGGGAACATTTGTTTCATCTGTCAGCCTCTCTACCTTTCAAGTAGTTGCGTCCAATTGCCATTTTGTTTCTTCACGGTGATCCTTGACGGGGCTTTATTGTTCAGCTTCGCCTTTAGCTTGCTGGTCTTCTCGCATTCATATTCATGCAGCTGCCATAATAGAAGGACGTGTACGCTATATGCTGTATTCAGTATTTATATAAGCCGTGCTTTATATCGTATTCATTATATGCAAGGTTGTGCTTGCCTTTTACCATAGCCCATTGCCCCGCTCTGGCCTCTTAGCCCTTCTCTGCCCCCCTCCCTCTGCACCCCCCCATCCCACATGGGCGCTTCTGGAAATGGAAATGCCTCCCGAGGCGGCTGCTGCCGATGTTGCCAACCACCACGCGTACAGCAGAGCTCGTCACACAGAGCAGATCGCCACGACGGCTCCCGATCTCATCAGATGTCTCCGCAGCTACGCAGGCTGACTTAGTGCCCGGGTGGGAGGCTGCCTGAGATGAGCAAGGCGTTGTAGGCTTGGGCTGCGAGGCGGCTAGCAAATTTGCCGTACAGCGAGTGGATTCATGACTCTATCCGTGCAGAGCTTTGCGTGTTAACACCCCCGTGTGCATGGCTGTTCTTCGGGCACCGCAGTGTACTCCGACAATGTCACTTGGGTGTGGAATTGGCCAAACATCCCAATGTAGGATCCCCCGGAAAAAAGCGTGAGAGCGAGTGAGGCTTTCCTGGGTAATGAGCAGTGGTATTATTATTATTATACGGGAAGGTTTGTTTGTTGATACACTCCTTTGTTTCGCCACGCAGAGTATCCGCCCCATCTTCCCTAACATACAAAAATGTAAAAGTGATTGCTGCTCAAATTAGCATTGAGTCGGCGCTCGTATCATGTCTACAGTCCTAATCCACGGGTGTAACTTTCACTTTCCCGTGCCGGATGCGAGTCCATCCACAGAACAACCACTCTTGACTCCCCCCCCCAACAAAATGTAACTTCTTTTATCCACCCGGCGGGATGATGAGCTGAGTCAACCCCCGGTCATGATTTCAACTCGGAGCTTTCCCCATTGCGATCCGCTCACTCTAGCACCGAGCCATCTGGCGGGATCGTCTTTGCCGTAGCGCAAAATCAAAGCGATTGAACATCACCGCGTGCAGCCCGATGGTTGTTTAACGGACGCACCTGCAGCGAGGTCTGTGTTGCGTTATTTACCGAGCGACGCAATGAAGGAAGGGTCGGTCGGGAGAGACTAAGACACAGAGAGAGAGAGAGAGAAACACGTGGGGAGGAGGATCGAGGGCTCACGCACCATTCATCGCCGAGCGTGACACGTGACAGCGACACGAGCGACGAGCAATGAGCGAGAGCGTCGCTTTGTTCGTGCGAGGGAGACGTTCTGAGGAATGCCGATCCCAGGGCACTTTGCGCCGCCGCGTGCGCTCCTCTAATGGGCCGAGGTGAGGTGGGGGGAGGGGAGCCGCCTCGAGGCAGATGTGGTGGTGGTGGTGGTGGTGATGATGATCACAAGCGGCTGCTTGCATGCCTGCCTTGCCCCTGGGGCTGTTTAAAAAAAAAACATCCGCGAGAACGTCTCGGCCACGAGCGGCCCGCTATTATTATTTTTCCTTCTAACCACTGTCATTTTTGCCTCGCTTATCAGTCAACGCAATGGCTATGAAATTATGGTTGGTAATGCACCGCAATTAAATTACCGTATGTGTAAGGAGGCGGCTGACCCCCGTGCTCGGAGCGGATGGATCGTTCGCTGGACTAGCGGTGGAGGGCCTGGGGGGGGAGGTCATCGCTTGCATTTTCCAACAGACGGCCCTCAAAATAACGGCGTGTCATTTTGCATTAGACGGAGGAGAGTTTGGTTAAAAAAGGCAATCAACTCGGACGGCGAGTTGCATCCTAATATAATTTGGCTCGAAATTGGAAACACGAAAACGTCCGCGACAATGAAAATGACGAAACGAGGCTTCGGCAGTTCTAAATCCCAGGTCAGTGGTTGGATCTCTCGGGTTCACCGCCATCCAATGCGCACGGCACAAACAGCTCTCTAGTTTCCGGCGATGATTTTCATGCATTTATTCCTAAACTCCCATTTGAATTGCGTGCGCGTCTGAGACATCGCTCACACGGCGTTGCTCAGAAGTCGCCACCTTCCCGGCCGGTGCATGCGAATGGCTTCAGTGCGCTCGGTCTCTCTCTCCCCCCCCCCCCCCGCTTCCTTTCCCGACGAAACAACGTGAAGTGTTTGAGAATCGTAAGAGAGCTGAACGTTGTTATCCGCGTCGCAAATGCCGCGCGTCGTCACGCAATCATCAGCAGCGGTCTTACGCGAGCGGAAAGAGAGAGCATTTTTAGTCTCAACTCAATTTGTAAACCGTCATTTTCCCACAAGCATAAAGGCGCAAACATCAACAAAATAATAATAACAACATAATTTAAGCGAACAACCCTAAATCTGTTTTTTTAAAATAGCAATTACTTATGTGCCATTCACTTGATTCATATCCGTGAAGAAGAAATAATCCACATTCGATGAGCAATCTCTCTCTCTCTACAGACACGACACGATAATAATACAGATTGTTTGCTAATTGATCCCCACGTGACCCCCTGGCAGCCCAGGCAAGTCTCTCGGCTAAATGAAGCGCAAAATGTACGAAAGGCAAATTCCAACGTGGAGAGTCTCAGGGAGCCGTGGTGGAGGGAGGCGCCCCCCCTCCCCTCGCCACCCCCACTCCGGCGACGGTTTGGGTCGCTTGCACGCGGCCGCCAACTCGGGGCGTGCCAACAACCCCGGGTGGCGAGGGCAAAGAGGGCCTCGCTGTGCGGTGGAAGCGGGGGGGGGGGGGGGAATCGACCCTGCCCGATGAGCGACGCGCCGCGCGGGACATCGTGCTAACGCGACGCAGCCCTGTCTCCCCTACCCCCCCCCCATCCCAGGCTTGGAACTGCTTTTTTTGCGTTTGGGTTGTTGTTGTTGTTGTTGTCTTTCCACCCTTTCCCCCTCTCTCCCGCCCCACACCTCTTAATTAGCACGGTTGGCTACGTACGGTGCGAAGGAAGTTCAATATACCGTACGTACGGGGGCGCGGGGTCACTCGTGTTGTGCGTCTCGCAGGCTATATCCTTGTCCGCCGATTGCCGCTCTTTACGATCCTCGTCAACAAAGTGGCGGTTCGCTCAGTGTGAGGAGCGCAAGAGAAGGGCTTCCTTTGCTTGTCCGGTTAAACAACGCACTCTAGATGCCAAAATCGACTTCTCTTTCACAGAATGACAGCCGGATTTGTACAATTGGTGTCTCCCGTCTCCCCCCCCCCCACCCCCTGTGTTTTACAATTCATGCGTGGTCCATTTCGTACAATTATTCACCAATTTCACTGCTTCCCACACATCGCCGACGTGGAGTGAGTCAATGTGGCCAGGGTGATGGCAGGGCCGTCTATGGTGGAGACGATGATGCCAAAAAAGCGTCAACACGCGAATGTTTTAAATTAAGGATCTCGACATTGCTGATATCCAGAAATGTTTTATTTACAGCCTTCATGACTCATTGATACTTTGCTTTTATATTTGGTAATTAAAGTTTAGGGCTCTTTGCCACTCAGTGTGTAATGCCAGAATTCGGCAAAAGTGTTTAATGAATAAAACCTCAATGAATTAGAGCCTTTCACTTTTCACTTTTACGGTTACTAACAATCGTTGATATATGAACAGATGATGTATTTTTATGACATATATAATGAAAGAGGAAATGAGTGGAGCAATTTAAATGATACTGACCATTCAAAGTCAGCACATTTAAGAAATCGCTGTGGTTTTAATTTTAATGCACCTCCAAAATACAAGCCATTCTCAATACCAATATTCTTTATATGGCTTTGGTGATGCACCTGAAGGTTGTTACTCAAAATTCAATCAATTCCAAAGTCAGTAATAAAGAGTCTACGGTCGTAAAAATGCAATTCCCTTAAAGTTAACAAAGTCGGAGGGATAAATGTAGTCAACCAATAAAAACATTCTAAAGGACTGTAGTGAGAAAAAATATAGCCTATTTAATCAACTCAATGACTTCTTTGCATTAACATTATTACAGTGAGCAGCGATGGCCACACAGCATCGGGAAACAATTGCAGGTGGTGCATTTCCTTTCCGGGCGCTCGATCAACTCATTAAATCCTGCCTCCACGTCCCCCCCCCCCCCCCCACCGTTGGCTTCAACAATTCCTCTCCTATCAGAGCTTAATTTGTTCCCGCCATCTCCCCGCAAGCTTCTTAAAGGCCCTCCCTTGGGGGAAAAAAAATTGATGAGCGCTATTATTAGTGAGCCGTCCTGTCTCCGACACGCCGAGCCTTGCCGGGCGGCCGGTGCTACGGCTCAGGAGTTTTGGGGACGTGCGCTGGGAGCCGGTGGATGTGTGGTTACTGACGCAGATGAATGGGTGATTCCGGGTACGTGGGGTGGTGTCTGTGTGCTATACGATTAGTCCGCCCAGTTGCTCGCCGTGCTCAAGCCATCCGACCCCCCCCCCCCAAAACAAAATGATCTCTTGTGATTCTCATGCTATTGGTCACGAACTCGTGCGCGCTAAAAATGGGCCGTTTGTCAATCCACTGCTGTTTGTTGTCCTTCCCCGCACCTCCGGTCAGCACGGTTGGCTACGTACGGTACGAAAGAAGGTCAACACACACACACACGTACATAAGTCTCCCCATGCCGTGTGGGTCGTGAGGGTTATTTGGCTATACTTCACCACGCTGGTCATTGCGGGTCAATGATTGCGGGAGGGAGTGGGGGTGGGTATAGACGGTGGGAGCATGGCAAGGACAAGCAAATAATACGTACAGTACAACATCCACTCACTGTCCAGGCTCAAATCTCTGCTTAGCTTCTGAGATCTGGTGAGATCGGGCAAGTATTTGGTGATTTAGTAATAAAATTAGGACAAACAGTTTCACTCGCTTAAGAATAATTTTGCGAATTAAAAAAAGGATCGTCGAGGTATATTACGTAACTTACTGCTACAGGGTTATTTCCATTCGTGTTTGTTTTTTCAACTCCCATGCACAAATACAACTTTTAAACGTGCATCAATTAAAGATGCGGCTCTAATCAACCGGAGTTAACACTCAGATGTGTAAATTCCGTACTTGCTGTTTAATGCTCTAAATGCGTTTGAATTAGGGACAGTTCTTTGATGTTTTTTGGGGTGGGTGGGGGGTAGCGGGGGGGGTATCCACGACTGGTTGGTCGATTTGGAGAGACCACGCTGGGAAATTTCCATGGCAGATTTTCGCCGCTGGATAAATCCGACACGACGACGCTGCTGGATTCTCACTCAACTCCAAGCCTGAGCTGTCGATCACTCGGGAGTGCTCTGCCTTGCCGTAGAGCTACTTGATCATCCTCTCTCTGAGAAGAGTTGTTTCCCCCCCCCCCTCCCCTTTTTATCTGGCAACAAAACAGTTAAGTTGTTAAAACACCAAACTGAAACCTTTTACAAGGAATCATGTCTGCATTAACCACAATAGTCGTGGTCAAAATGCAATCAAAAAATTCCTCTGATAATATACGCATTGTCTTGTGTGGACCAATCGGTTTCAAAGACAATGCATATTTTAGGTTGTTGGGGGGCGCCTATGGCCTATGGCGCCCCCCAATAACCACAGCCTGTGGCGGCCCCCAACAGACTGGTCAATTAAATCCTTACGATCCACTCGCACAGCCGTACGGTGGGCCTTCATCCAGCAGTGGATTTAAGCACCAAAAAAACCTACAGTACTAATGTAATTAGAACCGTGTGTATATGTCCGTACGTAATAGATGTGTGTGTGTGTAGTGCACGTGTGTTTCACCGTCAAAGGTATTATTGAAAAGTATTATTGTAGAGTACTGTAAAAAGAACGGCTTTGCTGTACCCGAGGACTTTCAATAAGTCGAATGAGAGCGGCTTTACGCGGCTTTCACTTAAAACTTTCACTCGACATAGCTTTTGTTGACGATCCCGCGATGTTACTGTAATGTGAATGAATGAAAATGTATTACAACTTTAGTTGTGATATTTACATTCACTTCTAAGAGCTATGACTTATTAATCACTGAAACAACTGTTAGGATTATTTGGAAGGCGTTATCTTAAGGGGGTCTTAGGAAGTGGTGGGGGTGGTCCTCCTCAATCCCCACTCCTGGAGGATCTGGGACGTTCAATCTCCGGTCACGGGGGGGGGGGGGGGGGGGTTGAAGGCTCTTATCTGAAGGGGTCTTATGGAGGGGGGGGGTTCCCCCTCAGCCCCCACCCCTGTCGGCCCGCGAGCGTGGGTGGCAGATCAGCTGCCCACAACATCACCTGGGATGAGTACATGTTTGTTAGGGGCGCACCTCTGGTTGGCTGCTTACTCGCGGTCACGTGACGCACTTCAACCAATCCGTGCCGCGTTAATCACACTG